AAGACCAATCGTGCATTAAGTATTAAGACATCCATTGCCCGTCAGCACTACTATGACGAAGGAGACTTGGTCGACGTCCCACAACTACGAACGACGACCGGGGAGGCTGGAATGGCCACTTCCCGGTTGCGCGGAACGATCCCGACAGGGTCAAGTCATTCTTCGGGTTGGAAGCCGTTATGCACAAGTCCAATATGGCGACGCATGACATTCATTATACATCGAAGCTTCGATCGCCCAAGAAATTGGATTGACAACGCTGCGCTGCGGACAGTGTTGACATTTGTTGCCTGTCTACTTGCTGGGGGACCTGCAATGACGTTTGGCTATGTCCCGACCAAGAAGAGAACGCTTCAGATGACAAGTGCGAGTCGACTATCTCCCAAAGTACATTTAGATCTAAAATGCTTATCAGGAGCTTCTTTCGCATGGAGAATGTAGTTTCTGTCAGGTTAGCAAAGAGTATCCACAAGCTACCTCCGGTGGCTTATGCTGACAGCTGCATGTTGGTACATTGAGACAACGACGTGAGCCCAGGCCTCCACTACTATGAGGCCGAAGGCACTGCCCTGAATACACGCATATATATATATAACTGGATGAGCACAGTCGAGGATCATTCAGCGCCTAAAGTCCACAAATCCTCAATCGGGCTTCGACCAAGACGCGGCGAAGTTTGAGGAACTGGCTGACGTACCGACGCAAAGACAATAACGCCAGAGAAGTCTCATATGCCGAACCGCCACAGGAGGATGGACGGTCCTCTACGATCTATGAGGAATCAGAAGCGGACCTTGAGGCACATGCTATGGAGGTGTGGTACACGGAGCTACATGAAGAAAGGGAATTATTGGAGGCAACTCCATTAGATGACATTTACACAGCACCTACACATCTGATCGCTGTCAACAGTGTGCTGGTCACGGTAGCTGAAGAACAGCGGGGGCACCTGCCTGCGCGGGGCCACCCGCGCGACTCCGACGTCGAGCAGACGTATCATGTCCCACTAGGTTCCACGAGTGGAGACCGTAGCTACGAAGTGGACTCGGGCGAAAACTGCCAATCTATAGAACTCTGCTTTACTTCAGAAATGACAGAAATAGTCCTATCCGATCAACGGCATAGGGTATTAGACTTCGACCGTGTGACCACCATGCGAGCATATGTAACCGCCGCCGCAAAACGAGCCGCGGTCGTCAAGGAGGACGACCCCCTCACGATGGCCGATATTTTGGCGAACCCAGTTAGGGTATCAAAGGCCCCATGCATTGAACCCTAGAAATTGTTTGGCAACAAGTGCTTCAAGATGCGAGATATACCCAAAGCGTCAAACATCATGACTTCGAGGTGCATAGATAAGTGGAAGTTTGTAAAGAACGAAGTGGGTGATATGGAACCCAGCATCAGATTACGCCTGGTACTTCGGGGCTTCATGGGCCTCGAGGCTTTCGATGTGGATGCATTCTCAGGAGTGGCGCGGCGGTCAAGTCAGCGAGTGCTCGCAAGCGCGGCAGCGTGCAATAAGCAATGGCTCATTGGTTCCCTTGACAGCAGCATGGCTTTCCCGAAAGGGTTAAAATGCCAGGGCCGTGCTGAGGCATCCGGTGAAAAAGAACGCGTGGCGTGCTTTACCCTGCCGCCTGGGTCGGCATCGGTGCTTCGATCTCTCCCAGGATTCGAGCACTGCGACGAGTCGAAGCACTGCTTGCAGCGCCTCAAGCCAGGCACCGGCACCAAGGATGCACACCGAGCTTTCTCACTGAAGCTCGGAAGGACCTCGAGTGGCTTTGGCCTCAGACCCACGTCCCACGACGAGGAGTTCGAGACAAGCAGTAACCTGCTCACAGCCAAACATTTTTGATGATATCAATATGGCCCGCGCTGAGGGCACCATCGGCAGGCGCGTCAAGTGCGTCGAGGACATTTTTGGTAAGTGTTTGTGCTGTGATATACGCAAAGGGTGGAGGCGGTGACGTCGCACTGGATCAAGGTAAATACATCAAGCAGCTCCGTCCTATACAACATCCAGAACTCACAGGCGCGGGCGCCGACGCCAAAGCATCAAGTATGGTTGCTGACGTGCTTGTCAGCATCAGGGGCGCTTGGCTTACGCATTAATCACACAGGTGTGGTTGATGGTATATGTGGCCTCTCTGCAACGTGTCCAAGAACCGACCAATATACAGGGGCGACGACTGAGCGCGATTACCAGGAAGCTGCAGGCCTGCTCTCAGAAGATCGTCTCTCGATCGATGACTCCAACGGGCGAAGTTGACCTGCATAGCGACTCCGGCTATCAATGCCTGAGTGGCAAACCTGCTACGGCGTGGAAGCACGCCGACTGGTAAGCCTCTCGTCAATTTGATCGCAGCGCACTGTAAGTGTCATCGCTGGCAGATCCGCTCAAGCTACTCAGCAGAAACACTTGCAGCAGCCCGCTTCTTGGAGGACCCCTATCCCGCGCTCGTTACTCTGCGTGAACTCCGCGCAGGGCCACTGGCACCTCAGTTGAAGGATGTATTGGAAATGGGTGGCCTGAGCATTAACGTCACTCGGACCATAGATGCTGAATATGTCTTCAAGTCCTTGTCAAGCAAAGACACGAATAATCCGACTGAGTGTACTCTTTTGGGGCACATCAGTCGGATACGACAGATGATGGAGCGAGGAATCGTGCATCGTATTCAGTGGTGTGACACTCGCGACAGGCCATGGGAGGAACGCGATCCTTCAAGCATGACTTAAAACGTCATACTCCGTACCGGGCCGGCCAGACAACATCGTCTGAGGCCGCCTGGGTAGCACTCGCTTATACAGCGATTAGCTCACAAGGCAGCTTGCGCGCAATGGCATTTGCTTGTGGGTTCACCTTCCTTACGAACCCGCCTATTACCGCTTTTTGTTCAGATCGTGTTTATTGTATAAAGGGGCAGCGGACTAGCGCTTCGTCTCCCCCCCCCGACGCTAAAGTGAGCTGGGACAAAGGCGAGAGATAGCGATCTTTTGTCCGTGGCCGCTTGGACTCAACCGGCCGACCGCCAACATGTGACTGTTGACTGCGCCTCATTGCGAGGCGTACTACTTGCCATCGAGACCGGAAACGTCCTTTGCTTGAGATGGCCCGTCGCTCCCGCGACAATCTCCTCCGACTGGGACGATCGTTACTACGGTACACTGCTGGAGTTGGGCTTCGCCTAAGGCGAAGCTTTTGGTCGGGCCTCCCGGCCTCCTTCAAAATGTGTGGTGGTTTGCGCGCGTGCGCGCGTACGTGTGTGCCCTCGCCCCCCCCTGTGGGTGTGGCGTGGTTAGTAAGGATTCATTACCAAGGAATCCGAATTTACACATTCCTTAACCAGGATTCTTTAACAATCTTCCTGCTGAGTGATTCCTTAGCATCTGCTCCGTATTCAGGATATCTCAAAACATAATCCTCATTAGCGATCCTGTAGTACATACTCCCCATTGAGGAATCCTTCGTAACTATTCAATTGTGAGGGTTCATTATTCCTCACCAAGGATTCGCCAATAAAGGTTCCAGACGAAGGATTCGTTAGCAAAGCGTCTTTAGTACATATTCCTCCGTGAAGACTCCTTATGCAGGAATCTTCAATATCTACTATATATATACAAATATACTCACTCCTTCGCAACGATTTCTTATGATGGGTTCCTAGTACAGATTCCCTGATACGAGTTCCTTTGTAAAGATTTCGCATTCAGGATTCCTTAGTACAGGTTACTGATTCCTTATTACGGATTGGGAGGAGGAGGAGGAGGAGGAGGAGGAGGAGGAGGAGGAGGAGGAGGAGGAGGAGGAGGAGGAAGGAGGAGGGAGGAGAGGAGGATGAGGGGGAGGTGTATGTGTGTATATACAGATACAATATATATATATATATATATATATATATATATATATATATACACACACATGTGAATATGTGAAGGTTTGTGTGTGTGTGTGTGTGTTCGCCCCCTTGGGCCAAGATAGATCCATATCCTCTGCCCACCGAGGTCCGTGGACGTCAGTTCCCCAGGCGATGGACATGGATTGCCCCCCAGGAGAAGGATGCCAACTGTGCGCCTGCACACCCACCCTGGCCAGGCCCATCTTGGGAGTCCAAGATTCGGTGTCCACGCCCTCCCCCGGCCCCTGTCGGGTCGGACGCAAGGCGGGGACGGGGAGAGGGTGCTCACGAAATCTGTTGCATCCAGCTGGTTTCGGCCCTGCGCTGGGCGCTTCCGTCGATACATTGGCACCTCCGGCGCCGTGAGGCGCATGGAGAAACAGTTGAGTTAACTGATTCGGGACCCCCCCCGCACTACCCCCCCCTCTTCGTCCGACCCGACCCTGACCAGCGGCAGAACAACTCTGGCCTTGGAGGGGGACCCTCGTGTTCTTCGTGATTGGGGGCTATGCAGTGCTGCTCGTTTGGGCATTTCCGTGGGGCACCTGGTCTTCGGCGGAGGTCAGCCACGCACAGAGGGGGGTATGCGAGAGGGGGGGAAGCTTTTTAGAAGCACCCCTGCTTCATAGAACGCGCGGGTCTCAACTGTAGATGCAAGGCTGGTGCCTTTTACGCATCATAATCCTTCTATCAAGCCTTCCCCCTCCCCCTGCCCCCATCTTGCGCTCCGCCAAGCAGGAGGCCCATGCACTCACCCGTCTTGTGGCCATGTTCCGAGTGTGCACCAATCCCGGGCACAGGGTCGGCCTGACCAGGGTGGGTGCCAGGGTACAGTTGGCGTCCCCCAGCTCCCCCCCTGGCCGGCGCGCGAGGCGTGCCCCCCGCCCGACGCCGCGCTTTGGGGATTCGTCGTCGTCGTCGTCGTCGTCGTCGTCGTCGTCGTCGTCGCCGCCGCCGCCGCCGCCGCCGCCGCCGCCGCCGCCGCCGCCGCCGACGCCTCGAGAGCAGGTTTGCCTTTCTGGGCCTCCTGGGGCGCCCGCGTTGCAAGCGATTCCGTCGTGGTTTCCTCGGCAGCCGCGTATGGAAGACATGAAGGCCAAGGACCCCGACCCGTGCTTATACGAACTCTCCGTGCTGGCCGACTCGGAAACTTGCGATGCCATTGCAGGAGTGGTGCGCCACTCCCGAGAAGCACGGGCGCGAGCCCTCTCTTTGGAGTGACAAGGCCTGCATTGACTAAGCGGAGGTCGATGCAGATTTTCAGTACTTGCCAGTCTTCCTGTGCGGCTGCAGAGAGCTGCCTGTCATGCCTGGCGCTATAACCCATTTCAGCAGGCTTGGTGCATGTTGGACTTGCTCACGCACCACTATGCAGACCTTGGAAAGCGCTGGCTGTCCATCTTGCTGGTTATGAGGCATGGTCGTCGCGAATATGTCTAACGTGACATCGCATCGGCCACCCAGAAGTTCGATGTCGAGTTGTGCGAGTGCTGTAACAAATGCGACCCGAGCAGGATATTCGAGGCTGCTTGTGGCGGTGTTGCTGCCTTCAGCGAGTTTGTTCGATGAACCACCCCCGCCTCCCCGATAGCACCTTCATAGCTGTGCCAGCATCCACCCGCCGGCCCTTGCATCGAGATGTACCGCAGGGACAGCTCTGGCTGCTGCTGCACCTCCTCGTCTTCCTCCTATGGCCCCGCTGATGTCCCAGTGCAGCTTCACGCATTCGCGCGGCAGCCCAGACACAGCGACGAAGGACGAAGGACGCCGTACGCATCAGAGGGGGCTGGTCTGACGCCACGGCCCCGTGCATCGGTCAAGGAATGTCCTGGTCCAGACCAGGCTGCGTATCCCTGGATCCTCGCCCTCGCCCTCGCTCTCGCCCCTCCTCCTCCTCCTCCTCCTCCTCCTCCTGCTCCTCCTCCTCTTCTTACCACCAGCGAATTCTAGCGGACTCCTCCTTTTTCTCGCCCTCCTCCTCCTGGTCCTCCTGGCCCCCGCCGCCATCCTCCACGCCTCGCTAAATGGGCCCTAGACCTCGCTCTTCTGCGGCACCTCTCGAGCCGGACGGATGCGTGAGGGCCCTGGGGCCCGAAACCGGGGGAGAACGCCTGAGGTTCAAAATTGCAGCGCGCGGGCCTCAAGGGTGCCGAGGCGGGGATCCATCGATAACCACCGTCTGGGGGGCCGGTCACTGGGGGCCTTGGCAGGCGGTCGATATTGTTTCCATTCAGGCCCCAGGGTGGCCCAACATATCCACATCCACCGCTGGCCGACGCCCCCGGAGATCGACCCCCCCAGGCGGCGGTTATGGACCGAACCCCCGCCTCGCATCGGGGGCCTCGACCTCCCCGCCCTCGCCCCCCCGGCCCCCCCCCTCCCCCCCCCCCCTCCCCCCTTGTCCTACCTTTTCATGCGACGTCGAGCCCGTCAACTGCGTAACGTGATTCAAACCTGAGCCCTCTAGCCCCGACCCTCGAGGAGGCGAGCCGCGCCTTTTCCCGACGACGACGACGACGACGACGACGACGACGACGACGACGACGACGACGACGACGACGACGAAGACGACGACGAAGACGACGACGACGCGAGCCCTCAACGAAAGTAACCCCTGGTGCCCCCCGCCGAGGAGATGCTCGGGCGCGCGCTGCTCCGGCGACTGCCCCGCTCGGCCCCCGCGCCGCTGGTGCGGCCCGCGCCGCGGCCGCCGCGCGCTCCGCCGGCCTGCAGGCCGCTTCCTCGGGGGGGGGGCGCTCGGCCGAGCGCCCACGAGGAGGTCAACTCGGTCGGCCGGCCGGCCGTCGGCCGCCTCGGCCGAGGGCGGCCCCGCGGCTCGGGGCGGGCCCCTGCGGCGGCGGCGGGTGCCCGGGGGGGCGCCGTCTGCCCGTGGCAGCCCGCCGGGCATCAAAGATGCCGGCCATTTTTCGAGGGCTGCGTCATCAGGCTCCTCAAGGAAGAGCAGCCACCCCTCACGGTCGACCAGCATTCAGTGCAGTCGAGCTTGATTAGGAGGTCAACCCTGCCAAATCAAGGGTACTCTTGTGTTCCATGCGTGGCGTACCATATCGTCTGCATAACTATGCATTGCTGTGGCGATGTGGCCCTCGGAAGTGCCTTGTGCCCTCTCGCGTGTTCTCTCCAATCAGATTCGCCGGTCGTCACCTCGTTGCTCGTCAAGGCTCGGGGCGCAGATGGCCTGTCTCCTCACACGGCACGAGCTGAACAATGTTCTGGCGACTCCGTGGACCGTTTTTTCGTTCCGAGTTCGTCTTTTGCAGCAGGGGCAGAACGAAGACAGAACGAAGGAAAACGAACACAAAACCAAAACGAAAAACACTGTTTAGCTCGAGCCCTGTCTCCTCAGGGCATCCAGGGAATGTCGGCGGCGACCGAGGGGGGGAGGGGAGAAGGAGAAGGCCTTCTGAGAAGGCGGCGGGACTTCTCAGAAGCCCTCGTGCCTTCCTGGGGAAGTTTTCCTATGTCTCTGGGGAAGGCTCGGGAAACTTCTCTGGAGGCCGGGGGACTTCCGAGAGAAGGCCTCCTCCGTCTCACCTCCCCCCCGCGTCGCTCCCTGGGTCGGGGTCGTGGGCGTGCCGACCTTCCCCCAGTGGAAGCACCGGGGGAAGCGCCTCTGCGCGAAGCACGCGGAGGGCGAGTGCTCGCCGCCGAGGAGGCCCCCGGGCCTCCGGGGGCCCGAGCACACGCAGCAGGAGCCGAGGAGGCGCCTCGCCGCGCGCCTCGCCGCGCGGGCCCTCCGCCAGCCGGGGCCGCTTCTGCCGCTCGGCTCGGCTCGGGTGGTCGCCTCGGCGGCGGGTCGTGGCGGCGGGCGCCCCCCCCGCAGGCGACGACGGCGACGACGCGCACAACGACGGCGACGGTGGTGGCGACGACCAAGAAGACGAAATTTGAAGAGGGCGAGGTCGAGGAGCAAGAGGAGGGATTCGCGCACGCGTGAGGCGTTCTCGAGGGCCTCGCCTCCGAGAGTCGAAGGAGGTGCCGTCTCTTTCTCGGCGGAGGGCGGCGGAAGGACGGCGCAAGCCGGCGGAAGCAGGAAATGGGCCGCCTCCGCCGGCGGAAGCCGGCGGGAGTAACAGATGTGCGGGGGCAGGACGTTAGGCTCTTTCTTCCAGCACATTTTGTAGTGCAAGCTCGCTTGTCGTCCGCGTCCCGAGTCTCCGTGGGTTCTCACATCGATCACAGATCCGATGGCGACGCGATTGCGGTAGGCTTTCAGCTAGCCTTTCACAAGACCTCCAGAGTCTGACGCAGCAGGAGGTAGTGCGGCCAAAAAGGGAGTAACCGATGCGCCCACAAGGGATGGAACGTTTTTGGGTTCAGGGTTTCCACCATGTGATCCAGGTTTCCCTCCCATGCTAATGGGGTCGGCCCGGGATTGTATACCCACATGGGCGCTGGCCGAAGTATCGGTTGGTTCGAATCAGGTTGGGGATGCCGTGGTCGGCGTTTTGGGGGAGCACGCCGATGTTGGCCAGATGTGGGGCCCCTCAGAGGGGCCCCAAACCTTCGCGTTCCCCGCTCCCACCCGGGTGCACAGCGCCGACCTCACGAGTTGATGCGCGCGCACATCCGTTTCCTCCCTTTTTAGGCACAGCCTGGGCCCTGGGGCGGACGCCCCCCTGGGCCCCCGCACTGGGCCCAGGATGGGCCTGGCCGGAGGCGGTGAATCTGCGCAGATCTCGTCGCCCTACTCTGCCGGGTGCGGAGCACCGGCCTGCGCGTACGTTTGGGTCAGGAGGGGCTCTGGTTGAGGGGCCGTTCCTCAGTTCCGAGTCGGGGAGTCTGCTCGTGGCCAGGGCTCGCCGTGGCCAGAAAGCTCCTTTCGTTCCTGACTCAGCGTTCCTTGTGATGGCACGATGGCCGTACGTGAGATCGAAAGGGTTCGGGGAGAGCACACTGCGCGAGCGTTCGTGACATGAGGGCGGCCTGGCGAACTGGGGTGCATGTTTCTCTCGGCACCCCAGCCGGGGGCGAGAAACGCCCCCGAAGCGCCGCTGGCCTTGACAATTATTCAATATGAATACTACTCTCCCTCTTCCCCTGATGACGGTTTGAAAGTGCTCGACCCCCCCGCGTACTGTTTTTTTATACACAGGTTTCCCCGGAGTTGGGTTTTCGCTTGCATTTTTTTTCAAAATGCTGCTCTCGCTGAGGCGCCGGCCTCATTTACGAGCCCCGCTCGTTCCGAATCGTGCTCCCGCTGCAGCGCTGGCCTCATTTCCGCGCTTCCGCTCGTTTCGACTCGTGCTCCCGCTGCAGCGCTGGCGTCATTTCCCGTGCCATGCCACGGCATGCAATGCAATGCTAGGTTGATACTACGCTTTGCGGTGCTCTTCTACGCCATGCCATGCCGTGCTCTACAATGCATCGCGTACCCTTTCGGGATCATTGCCCTGCTCGACATCCGACTGTGCGAGTAGACAGGGGATCTACGCCATGGTAAGGGCTGGGAGGGAGGGGTAGGATGTCAGATATGACGCGAGCGCACCTAGCTTGTCTTCCTCCCCTCCCTCCCTGCCTCCTCCTTGCCTCCTCCCGCCTCCCTCCCTCCATCGGGGCGGTTTGGGGCAGGCACAAGAGCACCTTGGCCGCCGACGCGTGCGCCTCCGCGGGCGGAGGAGCCGAGCCGGCCCTCAGCCTTTGCGTCGTCGTCGCCGTCGGGGTCGGCGTCGGAGTCTGAGGGATGGGGAGCCCGGCAAGCCGGGGAGCTTGGCTGGCTGAGTGGCCGCGAGGCGCCTCATTCTGGGCCCGTCGTTTCGCGGAGCGCCGCCCTTGTGGTGGTGCCGCAGGCGGCCAAGGGTGTGCGGCCGGAGTCCAGCGGGTGCAATCTCACCAGGGCGGGGGGGAGCGGGACAGGGGAGGGAAGAAGAGGAAGACGTGGGGAGGGTGAGGAGGCCAAGGAAAAAGAGGCGGATGAGGACCAGTGTAAGCCCCAGACTCGTCAACGATGTCGAAATACACCCTCCCTCCAAGATCCCTCTTGAGAGGCCCCTACAAGGGGTCATTTCCACTGAGGGACTTGCCCCGTTGGGGGACAACTGTGTGAACATTTGAAGCGTGCCAAGACACCATTGTCGGGACTTTAGCGCCACGCGTTAATCTCACTGTTACGTCTTAGCGATCCTGAACCGCACCGGAGTCCGGTTTCTGGTGCGCAAGCGTTGAGAACCAGTAAACGTTTTTCAAATGCATTTTCCCACAAGAAAAGAACATGTGCACGGCGCGAAGGCGAGATCCACATGTTGAAAAGGAACCGCCCTCAATCCGTGAAGCTCTTGCAGGTGTTTGAACCGAATGTGCGCGGCGCCTAGGAGAGAGCACATTTTGAACACCACCCGCCATCAACCTGTGAAGCTGTTGTCAATTGTTGTAAAGCGAATGTGCGCGGCGCTGAGGCGAGAGCCACATTTTGAAACGAGCCGCCCTCAATCCGTGAAGCTCTTGCAATGGTTAAAGCGAATGTGCGCGGCGCTAAGGCGAGATCCACATTTTGAAAGGAGCCGCCTTCAATCCGTGAAACTCATGTGCGCGGCGCTAAGGCGAGAGCCACATTTTGAACACAACCCGCCCTCCATCTGTGAAGCTGTTGTCAATTTTGTAAGCATCAGGGTCATACATGGTGAGGAAGTCTCCGGCCCGCCCTTTAAACCTGCCTCGGGGTGCGACAGGGAGGAGTTATAAGGAAAAGGAATGGAGGAGGCGGAGGAGCAGGAGGAGCAGGAGGAGGAGGAGCAGGAGGAGCAGGAGGAGCAGGAGGAGCAGGAGGAGCAGGAGGAGGAGGAAGAGATGGACAATCTGGATGATCTGGAGGAGGACGCTGTCCCATCGGTGATCTATAGCGGTCTGACGGCCTCCCACGTCCTCAATGGAGACACCGAGGGTGGGGAGCACTCGCTGGGCGTGGCCCAACAGAGAGGGTCAGAGAGGGCCCCGTGAGACCCTTTAACCATTACCGAAAATTAGACACCGACCCCCCTTTCGGTGTACGCCCGCCTCTCCTCCCTGCCCTCCCCTCCCCCCCCCTCCCCCCTCCCTCTCCCCTCCATTTCCCAAGACTGTAGGTTCTCGAGAGGGTCGGGGAAGTCCTGGAACCTTCGGGTGTACTTACGCAACCATCCAAGATCACCCAGACAATTAGGCAGGCGCTGGCTGCTCACGTTCGGCACATCCAGAGAGACACTCTTGCTCGGGCTGCCGAAGACCAGATATTCCAGATACTCGATTCGGCAGGGGTCCCACCGGCATGGGACGACCCAAGGCATCGCCTACGACAGCAGGAGAGAGAGGACGCCAATGTGTTCACGTGTATGTGGTGCTCGCGTTCTTTTTCTCGCATTCGAGGGCTTCGTACGCACATTCAGCGCGTCCATCATTCACGCGTATCGTTCATTCGCAGCTGTCAGGGTTCGTCTCTCTCCTGCTGTACATGCTTCCAGTCTTTTGCACATCGGTCAGCTCTCACGGCGCATCTGGCATTCGACTCGTTACCATGTGCGATTGGCCTCATCGTGTCTGCTCCGCAGTGCACGGTGGCAGAAGCCGCCGCACTTCAGCAGCAGGAGGACGAACGAATGCGAAGTCAACGAGCTTGTGGTCAAGGAAGGTGGCGTATCGAGGTTCCCGCTACACGACTCCCCGCCTTCTCCCGTGACCCAGAAGTTGTGGCCCTCACCTCACATCTTTCGCACCAAGACGCCCTACAGTTGCTCCTGGAAGCTGACCCCGCCATCCCTGATGACCTCATACAGCAGTATACTACTATTTGCTCGGATGTCCCCTCGGTGATCCCCACGGTCCCTGAGACCCCTTTCTATGTCTATAACCCTGGTGAATTTCCTGAGTTTCTGGCTTCTGCTGTCCCCATTCGCATTCGTCGACCTACGGCGTATGTTCTACATTTATACTGTGGGCAACGTCGCAGAGGCGACGTCCAGTGGCAGCTCGAGCATGAGACGTTTACGTCCGACCTGCACTTAGTGATTCTCAGTGTTGACATTGCCATTGACGCCGACAGGGGGGACCTGACGAAGGAGGCTGCGATTCTCGAATGGGTTGAGCACATACGTTGTCACAGGGTCATCAACACGGGGGGGGGGCCTCCTTGTGAAACTTGGTCGGCTGCCCGGTGGCACGAAGGAGGCCCCCCCCCTCTTAGGTCTACTCAGTTTATGTGGGGACTACCATGGGTATCTCAGCGTCAGTCCGAGCAGCTTCGTATTGGGTCTCAGCTATTGCATGCAATGGTCTGGCTCTTGGCGGAGCATCTGAGGGCTGGCACGGGGGGTTGGATGGAGCATCCCGCCAACCCCACGTGGGCCCCTAGGGCCCCGTCCGCGTTTCGTTGGCGGCCTCTTGAGGCCCTGGCCGCGGCCCCAAGCGCCGCGGTCACATCTTTCGATCAATGTGAGCACCAAGGTCCCGAGGTGGACCTTGGGCAAATTGGCCGTGCCCCCACTACCATTCTTTCGGTTCGAATGCCCACTATGGATAGGCTCCTTAGGGCCACTCCAGGAGGCGGTAGGTGTTCCCACCCGAGAGGCTCCCATCAGACCCTATTAGGGAAAAGGGCCTCGGGTTCTTTTTACACGGCTTCTAAGAAGACTTACCCGCCTCAGATGTGCCAGGCGATCGCCTCGGCCATCGTGGATAGTGCCAGGTCTCTCCTTTCCTCGGCTGAGTCCTCCACCCCGCCCAGTGAAGACCTGGACTATCCCGAGGACGATGATGATATCCGTGAATCGCTTGCTGTTTTCTATGCCACGTTTCAGGTTTCGTGCCCACCGCAGGAGAACCCTGCTCCTGACTTTGCTGGTTTCTCGCACAAGGATGCTTGTAGAGTTGACCCACGTGGGTTTGTCTACCCAGCGGGGGGCGCGGTGCGAGTGGGGACTGCCCGGCGGTGCGCCGTTAGTGACCCTCGCACCGTTGCTCCCCGGCCCAGCGCACGGCGCGGAGAGTTCAACTCTGCCTCTGGCTGGATGGAACAAAATTGTAGAGTTGACCCTGAATTTCACAGGTTCGTAGATTCGGACGATGAAGTGGAAGGAGCTGAGGACAGATCTCAGCAGGATTTCACGCCTCCCCCGCATGGCGAGGAGGAGGCTGAGGCAGAGCAGCAGTACGCAGATCTTTTGCATGGCTCCCCAGAGGAGCAAGCTGCTGAGTGGCTCCTTCTCCCTCCCTCCCCCCCCCGTCGCCTTCGCCTCCTCCTCCCGCCCCTCTCGAGCTCACCACCCAGCAGCGTGACCGCATTGCGGCCCACCGAGCTCTCGCCAAGGAGAGACGGGCGGCTCGTCGCAGAATCCAGGTGCCCACCCCATCGTGCTTCGCCCCGGCCTCCCCCCCAAACGCGGAGGGTAGGCGACAGGATGCGAGGGAGGCCGCACGTTCGGCCTTACGCAACTGGCTCATCAGCAACTAGTTGGATGGGTTGGCACCTCTTTCTTTTCTTTTTCTTTGTTGTTGTGCATTGCTCATTGCATGTGTAGCAGCAGAGGTATGGAGCACGGATGTCCCAAGCCCCGCGTTGCATCAACCCTCTCCCCTCTTGTTGTTTCTGTCGCGTTGCACACGTTGTCGCTTATGGGTGGATAAGAGATTGCCCACGCGGCGTTTGGCCGTTCCTGCGCGAGATCATTCGTCTGCAGACCCCTCTTCTTCCAGTTTCCTTATGTGCAGCATGAGCTCAGGCACGCAGAGGGCCTGCGTGTCAGCGGGGGCGTCGCCACGCAGAGCGTCTGAAGACCAAACATATTGAAAACCAGTTGCTTCCGCATCTTAGGTGCCCAGGTGTGCCCAGTACAAGGGGGGGAAGGGGGGCGATCGCTCCTTTTGGTTGGTTTCTGGGGGGGCGGAGCCACATCCTCTCTGCTTGACCCCGGTGCTTAACCTGGGGGGGGGGGAGAGATACTCGCTCGCAACATGTCACAAAAACGCACGCAGCAAATACAGGAGGAAGAGTTGGATGATGAGGAGGTGGATGAGGAGGAACAGGAGCGGAGGAGCGTGAGGATGAGGAAGAGGATGAGGGTGAGGATGAAAATGAGGAGGATGGGAAGGAGGAGGAGGAGGAGGAGCATGATGCTGATGATGATTATGCTGCTGATGATAATATGATGGTCTGACGGTGCTTATGCTTATTTTACAGGTGGTGTCATGATGGTGCTGACTGTGATGCTGGTGCTGATGCCTGTGTTGCTGATGGTAACGGTGATGATGATGAGGATGATTCTGATTCTGAAGATGAGCATGATGAACATGATGAAGATGACGACGATGCTGCTGCTGCTGATGATGATGAGGATCATGCAGATGATGATGATGATAATGATGCTGATGCTGATGATGACGATGACGATGACGATGACGATTACGACAATGAGGATGATGATGATGATGATGCTGATGATGATGATCATGACGATGCTGATGATGATACTGGTGATGATGATCATGATGATGATGATGATGGTGATGATGATGCTGATGCTGCTGATGATGATGGTGATGATGATGATGGTGATGACGGTGATGATGATGATAATGATGAGGATGAGGCTGGTGGTGATGAGTTTGATGGTGACGACTATGACGACGATGATGATGATGATGCTGATGATG